GTCTCGGCCGAGAAGTGGCGAATGGTCTCCGCGGCCCTTTACGGCCGCGTCCGGGCCTCGGCCAAGGATTATGCGACCTGTTCGTCCATCTACGGTCCCGATCGCAGCCGCGAGCGGCTGGGTCGCTGCAGAGAGCGCCCTAGAGCGTCTCCAGGGGCTCAAACATGCTCATTTAGGCCTAAATTTACTCCTTCACGCCCCATAAACTCGCTCTCTGCAGCGATCCCGCACCCCATGGCGCGGGTCGGGACCGTCGGCGGACAGGGCGGGCGCAGGAGCCTCGAGCAAGGTCGAGGCGCGGCCGCAAAGCCCTGCCAAAGGACCCCGGCGACCACCGCTCGTTCGGCGCGGACGCGCCGACGCGCGAGAACGGGGGCGCGCGGACGACGACCAGCGGTCCGCGCGGACGTGGTGGTACCATACCCGACCCCTCGATGCTTAGCTGTCGCCGGAGAGTCACATGGCGCAGCTGCGCAGGCCCTCGAATCCCTCGGCCGAACGCGGCCGAACACCTCGACCATGTTGTTGCACATGTGCATGGCGCGCGTCACGCACCTCAAGCGGTTGGATCGATCGATCATCATCCCCGACCCCTTCCCCACGCACTCGGAGGACACGGGCACGCCCGTGTCGACTCCGAATCGGACCCGCTCGGCTCGATTACGCGCATCGGCGCGGACGCGCCGACGCGCGAGAACGGGGGCGCGCGGACGACGACCAGCGGTCCGCGCGGACGTGGTGGTACCATACCCGACCCCTCGATGCGTAGCTGTCGCCGGAGAGTGACATGGCGCAGCTGCGCACCCGATCGGCGCCACCCGCCGAAGGTCGCTGCTCGAGCACGACCGCTCGCGCTCCGCTCGCGTCGTCCAGCCGCGCCACCGCGCGGAGAGGCCCGTCGGATGCATGGCTCGGCGCTCCTACGTTTTTTTCCGCGACGGAATCGGGGAACATGGCGCCGCGCACGGCGCAAAACACGCTCTCCGAGGCGCTTCGACGCTGCTCGGGACAAGCCGAGGACATTGGCCGGGGGTAAAATCGCAGTGGCTTCCCGAGGGGTACAAAATGTGATTTTGCGGCGATTTTGACCTTAGCCAATCGCGGAGCGCCTGGGCCAACTGGCGCAATGGTCGCGGGTGGCTCGTCGCCGAGCGACTCGCTCGTCGCGCGATCGACGAGCGACTCGCTCGTCGCGCGCTCGACGCCGCCGACGTGCTGTGCGACGGCGAAACGGCGTTGCAAGAAACTCGTCGTCGGCCTCGCCCTCGTCGCCGCCATCGTCGCGCTGGTCTACTCGCGGCTCGCCTGGACCGGGCCCGGCGCGGCCCGCACGAAGCGTTGGTACCGACCGAGCACCTGGCGCGACTACGCGAACTCGCTGACGCCGACGAACTCGAGCGCGCGCCTCGCGCACCTCGAGCGCGACGAGCGCAACGCGTCCGCGGCCGTCGCGGCGCTCGCCGCGTCCCGGAGCTCCTCGCGGGTCGCGTCGACGAGCTCGAGCGCGAGGTCGCGGCGCTGTCGGCCGGCGGCGGCGGCGGGTCCGGCGCGTCGTCCCAGGAGACGCGCGACGCGCTGCGGAACGCGAGCCTCGAGGTCGCGCGGCAGGGCGAGGCCGTCGACGCGCTGCGGTCGCGGCTCGACGAGGACGAGAAGGAGGAGAAGAAGGACGTGGCGCAGCTCCAGCAGAAACAGAGCTCCGAGGCGGCGACGTTCCAGGGCTACGCGGACAAGGCCGCCGGCGACGCGGAGGCGCGGCTCGACGCGAAGATCGACGCGCTCGAGCAGTCGCTCGGCGAGTACCGCGAGGCGACGGGCGCGAAGCTCGACGACGAGCGCGACCTCATCTACCACTGGATCGCGGGCACGTTCACGCTCCTCTGCTGCCTCATCGCCGCGGCCGGCGCCTTCAGCCACAGCCGCGCGTTCGCGTTCCCCGAGGTGCAGCGGAAGATCCTCGCGCTGCTCTGGATGCCGCCGATCTACGGTTTGTGCTGCTGGCTGAGCCTGCTCTACCCGCTGGCGGCGCCGGGCCTGAGCATGGTGCGCGACGGCTACGAGGCCTACACGATCTGGGTCTTCGTGTCGTTCCTCGTGTCCGTGCTCGGCGAGGAGGCCGACGGCGACGCGGAGGCGGGATTGCCCACGCCCGGACGGCGGGGCCGCAAGAACCAGCCGCTCCAAGT